TCAGGAAAGTGCAAAGCAGTCTAAAATTGACAGCTTTTTTTTTTTTTTTTTTTTTTTCAGTAGCATAGATTTATGAGTAATGACCATAATTACGTTGCTCTATGACATCTTTTAAGGACTTCTGCTGTATGTGAAGAAGGCATGTCCTTGTCAGGAGTGCTGAAGAACAAAATTCTCTGGCCTCTGGTCAGGAGGATGTTTTCTGTTGCAGCTTTCAGGCAGCTATAAATTATGACTTCAGATATGTCCCCCATAGACACCTTAGTTGGTGGATTATGGTTACCCGCCTGCTCTCAGCTGTGTTTAATATGACGTTGCCATATTTTAAATCCTTGTAATGTGCAGTCCTTTATCCCCTAGCAATAATGGATACATTCCTTAGTTTTAGCTCTAGAACTGGATCTGGGTATTTTTGAAGACCTGCCGTGATCTTTCTGAAGGTGCTGCAAGCAGCATGTTGCTGCCTAGTGTTCTGGGGACATGTGGCAGGGGTATAGACAACAGTAGCTTAATTAATAAGAATTTCCTGTTGAGGATGTAGGTATATGTAATGGACTCCCTGTTGTCTTCCACCCAGCATAAGTCGGTCCCCTTCCCTCTTCTTCTGTTTTACTTAAACACATCACATCTGTTGTGGGTGTGGTTCATACTCACTGCATGGGCAATAGCACCCATCTGCCTGTAACTGATAGTACTTTTGCTTGCCTTTGCCTTTCTTCAAGTATTCAGAGGAGAAATACCTTTTGCTCAATTCCTCTCTTTTGAAGCAGATGCCAGGTTAACTTAGTTACAGCTGAAGAAATAAGAGGTAATGATAGTTGAACAGCCAACAAGACACCATTAAGATAAATACATTCCAGAGGAAATGGAGCATTTTATAGAGAAAACCTGCAGATCATGCTGCTCAGAAACAAAAGGTGGGAGTGGTTTATTTTGGGGCAGATCAGAATAAGGATGCTATTCTTTGTAAAGACAACTAGTCTGGACTCACAAAAGGAGGACTGTGCCTCACAAATCTGATATCCTTTACTTGAGAGGAAAAAAACAAGTGAATCACAGCAAGGAAACTATTGACTTAACCAAGACCAGAGGAAAGCTTTTCCTACAGGAACACAGAAAAGGTTTAACTCAAAATCCAAGGAGCAAGGTAGACAGACATTGTAAGTAGATAAGGAGTTAGCTGCAAGTCCTGCAAGGCAGGATTACAAAATCTAGAAATGGATTACTGTGGGATTGGAAAGAAAGAGGAACAGTGAGACACCTGAGGAAAGACAGCTGTGCTGTCTCATAGATAACAGTTTCAGGGTGCTCAACACAAGTACATTAACACCCAATTCAATAGAATCACTTGCATCTCACATAACAAAGCAAATTTTATAAACATGGAAAAGAAAAATGTGCTTTGAATATTAGAAATCTTTAAGGCCAGATGAACCATTACAATCAATAGACTTGATTATGTTATGGACCCTGAATCACCTATTTTTCACAGCTCTGAACACCTTTTTCTTCGTGTCCCTAAGGCAGTCCTGACTGCTGAGAACTATGGCGGTGCTGGTGCTACTGGTAAGAAATCGAGGCACAAAAGGCATGTCAGAATTTTCTTGTTCTTCTAGCTCACTCCAGCCTCCAACTGTGGCTGAACCCCCAGTCCCTTAAAGCCTGAAAGGCTGTGACTGAACATGCTTTCTTGGCAATTCCAATGGGCCACCCTTCTGGGCTCTCTGCTTTGCAGGACAAGAGCACGAACAGTTTTTCCTAATGTGATTAAGAGCATGTCCCCACTTCACTGCTTTAAACTGTCATCCTAAAGACTGAGTAAAGAATCTGGTTAGCTATCTTGATGTGGAAGCATGCCTATGTTTAAATAAAAGTAGCTTTGATCTGTTGGGAGAGCTATCACTTCTTCATTTTTGACTCCACAGAATGTCCCTCCATCTACTGGCTGTGCTGACCCTTGTATCAGGTCTTGCCAATACCCTAGCACTCTAGCTGTCAGCTCTGGCTCAGCATATTAGACTATACCTGTTCATAAAGGAATAGTATCAGACCGCTCACGTCTCTACAGACATTATCTCTGCTCTCCCCTTTGGCCTTTCTATCACCTTGTTAGTGAACAGCTGTTACTCTGATCTTGTAAGGTTCATAGTTGAAGTGCCTGCAACCAGCTGGAACTGTCTGTCAGGGCCTCGAGGGCACTGACAGGGCATACCATCCCTGCCCACCCTCCCCAGGGGCTCCCCCATCCTGCCATGTCAGCTCCCTGAAGCCATCAGCCCCTGCTTCTAGCTCCCCTCAGCCCTACTGGGCCCCGGGCTGATGTTTCAGCCTGGCCTTGGCCCATCCCAATGCTCACCAGGCTCCTAGTCCCTGAGTCTGGGGTTGCTCACAGCTGCACTGCTCTTGGCTTGGGTGGTAGGAGCCAGTTCCAGGCCTTCTACTCCCATGGGGAGCTCCCATGGCTCCGAGCTGTCCCCACACTGGGCCATGACACTGCAGCAAGAGTTGCTCCTCTCTACTATAATAAGGTTGTAAGAAAAGCTGGAGAACCTGACTTCTACCTAATGCTGCTATCTCGAGCAGAGGTATGTCACAAATCTTGTGAGCCTGAGACCTGATGAGCTACTCCCTGTCATGGAGGATATTATGAGTTTAAAAGAGAATAGAGCATAGATAAGAGCATAGATATGTTCATAGAGCATAGAGAATAGAGCATAGGTATGTTCCTTGTCTGGTCCATAATTTCATACCTTTTTTTTTTTTTCCTGAAGATAAGTAGGTTGACTTCAGTTCTGAAGTGCTAATTAAATGGACTTGGATGGATGAACATGCTAATGTGTTACTCAGATTGAAAGAATGCAACTTTTCAGTAGATGCTTTATGTGACTTTAAAAGTTTGCCTTTGCCCCATGGAAAGAAGGGTTGGGAATACTGGTATTACCTTCCTCTTTTAGCAGTGGCTGGTGTGGCATGATTTGATGTTACCTGTTACTTCTGCTTCACTTGATGCTGTCCTGCCTTCCTCTTCTTCGCTCTTGAACAGGGCCATACTTCTCCCTAAGGTATTTGAGGAACTTGGCCCATCCATGAGATACCTCCCATCCGCCACTCCCTGCCCAGTTACCAAGACAAGGTTCTCAGAAGAAAAGTTCCTAGTTTTTCAGAATTCTGTATAAGCCCCTCAGGGTCCCTGTGTTGTGTGAGCCACAGGTGTTCCTGTACTACAAATAACAATGATGTGTATTAGTGACTAAAATCCCTGAAATACTTTGAAATGCCCAATACAGACCCTCCTGACAAAAGGGGTTAATTACTTTTGTGGTTGTTATGGGTGCATTAAATGTTTTACACATGACTGACTGTGAATGAGAAATAAATGGAGGTCTCAGGTAACAGCAATTTGAGGAAAACAGTGGAATACCTGAAAAGAGTTTGATCTGCATCCTAGTAGAAGCATAATAAAGCAGTTCAGAGAAGTAAAACTTCCTGGTTTATTCTGGAATAGTCTTCTGTCTGTTCTGCTCTAGAACATGGAAAAATAAATGAATTCTTTGCAGAAGCAAACTGAGCAACCATCCTGGACAGGTCTTCTTGAAACGGGCTTTCCCCCACCCCAAGAAGATAGTGCTTTGTAGGAGCAAGGGTCAGAATCAATCTGGCAGTAAGCAAAGGACATTTTAGAATACTGTAGCATGTGAGTGTACATGATAAGAATAGATGGTTTGCATAGTTTGCTACTGAGGCTTTGCAGGAAGTCTTTCTTACAGGTAGCCCTCAGACTCTTCTTGGTGGTCAGTCCAATTAAGAAAGATGACTTTTTCTCCTGTCCTGGGCAGATAGTGGTATTTCTTTCTGTACTGATAGAATTTGTTATCCTGTCATATTGTTGAGCAGAAAAAGAGGTCTGTTTAAGCAGAAGTCAATGCACAGTATGTATGGTCAACTTTTGTTTAGGAAGCAGAAAGAGCATAAAGGAGTCTTTGTGGCTTAGTGATAAGGTAATCTGTTGTCAGTTTTACCCATTAAAACAGCTTCCTAGGAAGGAAGCTAATTTCCTGTAGGAAAAATACTTGTACAGTCTCGGGCTAGTGGTTTTTGCACTTTTGTAGTGTGTGACTACTCTCAAGGCCTGAATCTTTCGTGTCAAGCTGTTCTCTTCTGCCATCCTGTTACTGCAGCAAGCTAAATACAATTGTAAATATATATTTGAACCTTTGTCCACAATTGTTTTTCCATACCGTTTTGATACCCCTCACTATGACGTGCACCTCGGTTCTTTATAGGCTAAAAATGAAGTGCACCTTTGGAGTAAGGAAAGTTTACAACATTCAAAAGGCGTGTTCAAACCTGCTGAGATAATTATCTGTGGTCACGCTGGATTGAGCGCTGGAGGAGGAAGAGAAGGGGGCTCCTTTCCCAGAGGGAAGCTGCCGTACGGACAGGTCATTGCCGACAGCCAGAGAGCCAGCTACCCCAACCTCAGTTCACCTCGCGTTCCAGCCCCACAGGGGACAAGTGCAGGCGCAGAGGAGCTGGGTGAAGGAGGAGAGGTGCTTAATTTAAGACAAGCACAGCTAAATCTCTTGCCTCGGTTTTTTTCCTCCAACTAAACGTGCTGAAAGTTTTGCATGAGAGAAGACCGCAAGCATCTGTAACCTGTTTCTGGCTGGTGTGCTTACAGGCCTGCACACCGCACCCGGAAGCCTAGCTCTGCCACTCTTTCGGGTCCTTGTGCTGAAGTGCTGTCCTCCAAGCTAGCAGGTGAACGACAGTCTCCTTCGCTAGGATTTCTTTGTTTAAACGCAGACCAGCCCCACACTATTACAAATCCCCCAGCCCACGCCCCGCCCTATCCATTCTCGTCCCATGGCCGTAGCGGTGACGCTCTCTCGTCTCGCGAGAGAGCGGGCGGCGGGGCGGAGACCGCTCCCAATAAATACGGAGGCTCGGCCCTTATTCGTAGGCAGCGGTAGTGTCGGCGTTCGGTTGGTAGCAGCGGTTTGCGCCCCATTTTCCGGGTGAGTAGGTCTGTGCTCTGGCTCGGCTCTTGCTGAGGAGAGCGGGGCGGTGGGGGCGATCGGCTCCGCGGTGCTGACTCGGTAATATGGTGCCTTCCGCCGTCGGAGGGGCCGGGGCAGCGGCTTGCTGCAGGGCCGCCGCCCTGCCTCCGTCGTTGCCCCTGCCGTGCCCCGGCCCGGACGCCATAGCGGGGGGAGAGGGGCAGGGAGTAAAAATTAAATCTGTAACTCGGTTTATTCACTTTCCTGTTCAGGATCTTTTTCTGTCTCTGAAATACGCTTTAGTGCCGCAGGCTTTATTTCAGGTATTTCACCCACCGGCTCCAGTGAAGTGGGTCAGGCTTTGGACAGAGCTGAAACTACTGAGGATCTCTGAAACGGCGCAAGATCCTAGCTGCTTTCCCTGCCTAAAAGCAGGAGTAACTTCACAGGCTAACTCTCACGATTTTAGTGACTAAATTCAAACCGACGCTGTGCGTGGGCTTGCAGGACACGTTACAAATAAGTTATCCTTACAAAGGCCCCCCCCCCGTCCTTCTTTCCCGATTTTGTGCGGCTAGTCTCTTCTGTTCTACAGCATACTTTGCAGTTCAAAGTGAAATTCACTTGTATTCTAGGTAATCTAAGTTGTATTGGTATGTGAGCAACATGTTTCTGGGGGTATGTCAATACTTGATAGACAGAAGGAAAACTTCTGTAACTGCTGTAACTCTTGCCTGTTACCTGCTTGTATGATCCATATACAGCGGTTAATCTCATTACAGGCGTTACCTTATGGCATGTGTGTGTTAATATGCCACAAGTATGCAAGTATGCCTGCAAAAATGTTAACAGCATGCCTTTGTCCTTGTTTCCCATACTGCTGTTGACTTCTTGACAAACCGAGCAGAAAGTCTTGAAAACCACAGTTGTTTTGACTACCAGCTTTTAGCTTGCCTTTTTGTTGCTTTCAGTTACACAGATTCTTCTGTGTCATGTAAAACCAACACAAAGTGCTTCTTGTAGATTTAGTTCAGCCTATGTGCATGCATAGAATGACAGAGCACTTCTGTGGGTTCTCCTTATGTGGTACTGCAATATCCCTCTCCTTTAATAGGGTTTGTATGGGGAGATCTGTTAATATTTTCTCCACGGGAATACATGTTGGAGAATAATCGTGTAGCACAGGCTTGTTGTGAATGACTGATGTCTTCAGCCTTTTTCAGTGTGGGATGGGTAATAATTAAGACTAACTTAGCATGAAGGAGGGTAATGTTCTGCAATTGGCATGTCCTATGCTCCACGTTACAGGAAGCTAACTTTTGAACATGCTGAGCAGGGGGAGCTCAGGATCAGGCATTGCACTAGAAATAATTAACTCCTTGAGTTTAGTGGACTGACTTGTGAGAATTGAGCTGAGGGTATTGAAGTGAGTGCTTCCCTTCAATCTTCCACTCGTTTTCAAGATTCAGACAGCAATGGTGACTCAAATGTGAAACTTGACTCCCTTATGATAATAGAAGATCTAATCTGACTAAAAATATTGATAGTGGATTCTTCATCTAATTTAGACATTCTAAACTAGATTTTTAATGACTTGCTAAGGCTGGCCTTTTTTTGTCCTGCTCAACAGGTAAGCCCAAATGTGTTCATTTCTTCTTGAAAAATAAATTAATTCACCAGTTGGTAGCTCTTTGGTAAATCTGCAATGAACTGCTGTGCCTCAAAACCTACCTCTTGCATGTGTCCTACTTGTGTTGCCTAAACTGAACTAAGTAATTCATAAAGTTTTGGATTTTTAAATTTCTACAATGTTTCTGTGGGTAAGAATGTGAATATCCTAATCCCCTCTATCAATGGTGTTGATTGGTTGTCTGGTGATGACATGAAGTGGATATTAGGATGCTATAACTCGGATATGCTTCTTTTACAGACTTGTGCAGGATTCAAGACCTGAGAAAATGGCGTTGGCAGCAATTGATCCACAGCAGGTATGTGAGTTAGCCCCTCAGTTTTTTATGTCTAGTTCAGAACAGGCATCAACTAACCTCTCTCTCTTTTAAACAGAACATTGTATCGAGGGTTGTCAATCTTCCCTTGGTGAGCTCTACCTACGACATGGTGTCCACAGCTTATAGCACTACAAAGGATAACCATCCTTATCTGAAGTCAGTATGTGAGATAGCAGAGAAAGGAGTGAAGACAATTACTTCGGTAGCCGTGACAAGTGCTATGCCTATCATCCAGAAACTGGAGCCACAAAGTAAGGCAAAGATGTAGCTTTTAAGTTTAATTCTACTAATTGCTTTATATATCCAGGTGCATTTACAGTTTAGCATGGCCATGCTGGTCTGGAGTGCTGTTTCAGGTAGCTGACTGAACCTGTTGCCTGTCTTGTTGAGCAACTGATTACAGATGAGTATGATGTAACAGCACAACACCTCCTCACCACCCCACCCCCCCCCACCAAAAAAAAACCAAACAAAAATCCATAGCCAAAGCAGAGTCCAGCTTTCGTAATACTGAACTGACTCATCTTGACCTGTGAGATGGTTACATAGTTTCTTGCTCAACACCTTCCTCTCCTTTCACTTAGTTTCAATTGCTACTTTTGTACTTTCTCTCACTGAGGACAACTTCTGGTTAAATTTGGCAACTGTGTCATAAGGCAGTTGTAACTAGGAGGCTGGTTTCAGGAAGTGGCAGAAGGCCAGGTGCTTTAGTTTGTTCTTACAGTTGTTTGTGAAGTATCAAATGGGTTTTCTCCCCCTGCAAGTGAGGTTTTTTCACTGGCATTGTAAACCTGCCTTGTTTTGGGGCCTTCCTGTGTCGAATCTCACTGAAAGGGGGAGGAAATGACTTTGAAAGCATTGTTGCTCTGTTTCAAGAGGAATTCTCAGTTGGAGTTACGGAGTTATTTATGCTAAGGAGAAAAAAACAACCAAACAACAAACAAAAATTAAAGTATTTTTATTTCTTTTTAGTTGTTGTTGCCAACAACTATGCATGTATAGGTCTAGACAAAATTGAGGAGAGACTGCCGATACTGAATCAACCCACTGACAAGGTAAGTTCTTCCCATGTACACGTGCTAAGCAGAGTTATCTATGCTTGCTCTTTTCTGTTATCACTAAAAATAGAGAGATTTCATGCCTGGAGCACAGCTTAGAAGCAGTGATGAAGTGAAAGATGTTTATGTAGAATTGTTTGTTGCCTTTGGGAGGCCATTAAGCCCTCATTCTTTTCTTTTTTGTTTTTTTTTTTTTTTAAGCCAACAGCCTTGCTGACCATTTGGTAGATGTCTGTCCATAGGGGCTGTTCACTGGTGGGCATCTTCTTAAAAATTTGAGTCCTTGTCTGTTTCCTCCTTTGTATGAAGCAAACAGTACCTGAATTACTGCAGTGAATTACATTCACTTTAAGTGTTTGGAACCGAACGCTATGTAGCAGCCTTATTTTGTTTCATCTTGTACATATGTTTTCAGGACAGAATTTCTCAGATCACTGATATTTGTGCAAGCTGCCACATAAATTTGTATTTCCTGGACTACATAGCTTTCACTAGAAAATGTTTAGTGAACCAGACTGTTTTCTATCGCAGGTTGTCGCCAATGCCAAGGGTGTAGTTGTTGGAGCCAGAGAAGCTGTAACAACCACTGTGTCTGGTGCCAAGGAAACTGTTGCTCACACGATCACTGGAGTTATGGGCAAGACTAAAGAAGCAATGCAAGACAGTGTAGAAATGACCAAGTCAGTTGTCAATGGCAGCATTAACACTGTCCTGGGAAGTCGTGTGCTGCAAATGGTGAGCAGTGGAGTGGACAGTGCTCTCACTAAATCGGAGACCCTTGTAGACCAGTATCTCCCACTTACAGAAGCAGAACTAGGTAAGACTAATTCAAGCTTAGCGGGTTTCTTTTTTGGTTTTTTTTTTTGGAGGTGGTGTTTGTTTTTTGGGTTTTTGTTTGTTTTTTTTTTTCGAAGGCTTATACTGGGGAGAAGCAAGCAAATTCCTATTTGTTATCATATTCCTATTTGTATCCTATTAATTACAGTGGAGAGTGGGTCATGTGCTTCCCAAACTGCCTTTTGCCTTGCTGGTCATAATAGCATATTATTCATAAGGAAGCAGGTTGGAAGTAAGAATTTCCATGTATGGTGGTCTATCAACCTGCCCTGGTGCTAGAGGACTACTAAACAAGTCCAGTATTCAGCTGTTCCTAAACAAATTAAATGGCCTCAGACCTTTTAAGTTTTCTTCCAGTAGTCAATTTGCTTCCCTTCTACATACCTAGAGAAAGAAGCAGCAAAAGTTGAAGGTTTTGAAACTGGAGTTCAAAAGCCAAGCTACTACATTAGACTAGGATCCCTGTCTTCAAAGTTCCGCACACGTGCCTACCAACAAGCCTTAAACAAAGTCAATGATGCTAAGCAGAAAAGCCAGGAGACCATCTCTCAGCTCCACCACACTGTTAATCTGGTAAGTTTAGCCTTCATTTGAGATATAAAAAGCAAATGCTGGCATAGTTTGAGTTCAGCAGAAAATGGCAAAAACAGGCATAGGAAAACTAGAAATCGCACTATCGCACTAAATGCATTTTCTAAGTATAAAGCATTTCCTGTTAGTGCTTTTCACTATCATTCATGAGAGGTCCTAAATTGGGCTGAGCTGTAAACTAACTAGCTATTGCATGTAAATTTAAGCATTGCAGAAATAGAAGTAACATATTGAACATTATATTGCTGTTTTAGAGTGCTGGGTTTAACAGACTTAGTTCAGTGAAAAAAGTGCCTTGCAATTTAGAAATGCTTCAGCCTTTGAAGTTCTTGTTAATAAAATGACAGATTCCTTATGCTTTGCTTTTCTTGCTGTGGGTATCTTTGAGCATTCTTGGGTATTTCAATAGTCTTACCCTAACAGTGTACAGTACAAACTGTACCTAAAGAGTTACAGCCTTCTATATGCTTTCAAATCCTTGAATAGGATGCTAGCGGGGGAGAGGGGAAATAGTTGATGCAGCACTACATGTGATTTCAACAGTGCTTCTAGTTTTCTCCTTTGAAGAGAAGGAGCACACTGTTATATTCTCTAAAGTTTTCTATGCTGAACTTTTGAAGAAAAGGCGGTTTCAAAGCTGTTAAGGTAAGGTGCCCCCAATGGAACTGTTTAGACTGCTTTTTACTTCCTTATTTCACTGTATTTCAGATCGAGTATGCCAGAAAGAACATGAATAGTGCCAATCAGAAACTTCTTGATGCTCAGGAAAAGCTGTATCAGTCCTGGGTAGAATGGAAGAAAAATACAGGCCAAAATGATGGTGATGAACTGCAGAGCGCTGAGGTAAAGAGAGTTAAACCAAAAATAAATGGATCATATACTGTCAAGGAAGCAGCAAATTAACAGCCCCAAAGTGCATAGCATTGTAACAGCACAGAAGCTTATGCACATGTGGAATATGAATGCTGAAGCTCAGGGCAGCTGACTAGTGACTGCTGTGAATAGTAGGGGACACTCAGAATCCTAAAGATGTCTACTTCCTGCCAACACTCTTTCCAAGATAATGCTTATCCTGTTTAGCATGTGAACCTGTGTTGGGATATGCATATCTAGATCAGCTAGGACTTGCTCACCTGATATGGCCAGACCAGAAAAAAGTTTTTCAGCATAGAGCAGTCTTAGGCACAGGCTCACTGAGTCTTACGCGTAGCTTTAGATTCTGGCTTGTTGATTAGAATGTAGTTGCCTTTTGTGAATTGTCATCCAGAGTTAAAACAAGAGCTTACCTGTCTGTCGCTAGATAGAAACTACCAATGTTTCTGATCCACAAAGTACTTGAGGTTTGAAGAAATATTAAGTAACTCAAAGTCTTTGACTTTTCACACTGAAGACCTGTTTTATTATCTGCTATAGTTTTATTTTATGTACATCCCCTTTAATTTAATTATTTGTATATCTCGAGCCACATAAAGCTGATAGAGTCATAAAAAGATACTAATATGTTGTTATGCTTTTGTTTCCAGCTTATTGAGTCAAGAACTCTAGCTATAGCACGGAGCCTCACTCAGCAGCTTCAGACCACCTGCCTCACACTGGTTTCAAGCCTACAGGGGCTACCACAGAATGTGCAGGATCAGGTTTACAGTGTTGGGTCAATGGCAGGTGATGTCTACCAGAGTTTTCTGTCTGCATCTTCCTTCCAAGAATTATCAGACAGCTTTCTTGCCACTAGCAAAGGACAGCTGAAGAAAATGAAGGAGTCTCTGGATGATGTGATGGATTATCTTGTAAACAACACACCGCTCAACTGGCTGGTAGGTCCCTTTTACCCACAACTGCCTGGCATTCAGCATGCTGAGAGCAAAAGTGAAGGGGAGAAAAATTCCAGCCAGAAAGACAAACAGCCTGAACACAGTAATGAATAAACTGCACAGCATTCATGTACTCTGCTGACTGACAAAACAAGTGGCCTTAGCAAGTGTAGCTGTCAAAAAAGCCTTGGAGAAAAATCCATAGAGTGGGGGAAATGATTCAGAAAAAGGATACTCTTACACATAGCTAAACTACATGGGACAATACAGCCCACTCTAAAAGCTCAATCTGTCTCAGGTGCCTAGATATGGGCAGCTTACAGTTGTCAAGATGCCTTGTTTGTCAAGAAACTTTGCTCTGCTTATTAATGGTATTAATACCATTAGTCTAAATGAAACCTATTGTAGCTAATAGCATTTGCTTTGTTGCTTAATCTGTACCAGGATGATGTATAAGCCTTACTATGAAATGCTTTTAAAAGCCCTGCAATCCAGCTAGGTATGCTTAAATTCCATGTTTGTTGCAGATCACACATTTAGATGTTATGAATCTGACTCTCAAATTCTGCTGCTACACAATTCATTACAAAAGTTCTCTGAGTGCAGAATTCCAAAGCTGAAAGTGGGGTTTCTGAATTAGTCAGCTGGAGTTACTTAAATGCTGTGGCAGTGTTAAAATTAACTGTATAAACTTCACTATTATATAATATAGTAACCTGATCACAAATCATAGAATATCTCAAGTTGGAAGGGACCCATAAGGAACATGGAGTATAACTCCCTGCTTCTTGCAGGACTACCTAAAACTAAACTATATGACTAAGATGTCCAGATGTTCTTTGAATCCTGACAGGCTTGATGCCATGACCACTTCCCTGAGGAGCCTGTTCCAGACACTGACCAAATCATTATCAACACTTGTTGGTTTATGTTTTGTTTTGTTTTGTTTTTAACTCAATATAAAGCAAGATTCATGCTGTTTATACCCCAGTGCCTGGTGTTGTGTGGATTGTTGTGTTTTTTTTTTTTTTATAGCTGTCCTTGTCTTTTTTTTTTTTTTTAATTAATTTTGTATGTTAGTAATAAATGCTTCAGTAGCCAAAGTCTGTCTCCATTTCACTGACATTTAAAACAAATGTAACTTGCTGTTCTGTGACCCCTCAAATTGGGTCTAGCAGAAAGCAAGTTTGAAATGCAGATGAAGTAGATATGCATTAAAAATGTATTTGTGTGCGTGTCTGCCTAGATAGGTGAGATATGGCTGCAGCACTTCAATTTTCCCTTTGAGTTCCTGTGCATCCTTCCATTCAAAGTTTTTGCTTTACTGCTGCTTTTGTGGTGCTTGCTACTACCTACCTTTAATGATGACTTAAGCTGCGAGCTGGTGGATGTTTTGATATTGACAAGGATATGGATTAAAAAAAAAAAACCAAAACAAAACCTTATCCTGCCTTCACAGTGGGTGTTCTGTGTGCATGAGGCTGTTGGATCCTTATAAGCAGTATATATGCCTCAGCTGCACATGCCAGTTTTAACCTGGTTAACTTCATTTACCCTCTTTTGAACTTGAGTGACTAACATGTTAATACTCAGTCACTTAGGTGGAACTATTCCTCAATAAATCCTATGAAATCCCTTCCTTCTTGGTTTAGGGTTGTTCAGGTAAGTTGTGTCTGTACTCTTAATGCACACCCTGTGCGGCTCTTGAGTTTCAATCATTTAGTGAGCAATGCTGGCCACTATCTGGTTCTTCAGTTGCCTTCTGAGCTTAATATTCAAGCCACTGTCTTCTGATGGATGTAGAGATCTTGTGGCTTTTTGAGTTCCTGGTGGTTGGGTAGTGTCTGGTAAGAAAAACAGTTTACCCTGACATAGCTTTAAAGATTATAGTTTAACTGTACTGTTGTGTATCAGCAGAACATCTCAGCTGTGGTATTCAAGTTTTTTTTCTCTCATTTGTGTTTGCTCCAATGGGATTCAGAAAGGTGTCAGTCCCTGGCAGGTAGAGCACTTTTTCCCAAAACATTAGAATAATTCCTTAACAATACCTCCACCTGGCACAATGTGGGCCTTAAAGCAAATCAGATGTAGTCTAGTCTTTTAATGTGAGAGGGCTTGCTTAGCTGTCAAAGTTATCTAGATATGTTAGGAAGACTGTTTTAAGCACCATGTTAAAAGAACCCGAACAAAACCAAACAAACTAACGAGCAGATTACAGATATCGATTCTGTAATTTCTGCCTTTAAATACTTGAGTTTTGTAAGGTGGCTGTTTGAAGTGACATTAGCATGAGATGGTGAGATAGTTCTTTCCAGCTAAAGCCTGAGTTAATGCTTCTGGAATTCTTTCAGCAGTTAATTTTGTTTATGTATCTACTGAATGAGTCCAGCAGAATAATATATTTATTTTATCTCTTTGTAATAGAATTTACAGAATGCATCCACTCTTGTAGAGGTGCTAAGGAAAAGGATTGGACTGATCAGGTCTGAGAGCAGCTGGCAGATCAAAGAATTCCCATTCTTACATGTATTTTAAAAGCTGATGGCTGTGGGCCTTAGCTTTGAGGTGGTTAATCAAGTATGATACTCAAACTGTTCACTATCTTTTGATGGCTCAGAAATAAACAGCACCATCTAATATTAATACAAGAGCAATACATCTCTCTGCTCTGCCTTAAGTTGCACTATGGGTTTGTGCTTTCTTGGGTGACTGTCCAGATTTACTAAATATTGGCAAGCAGATCAAGTAGAAAGCATGAAAAACTGTTACTAGCCTAGACCTTCAAATCCTTTTCTCCTTTACCATGTGCTGTTGGATGGCTTCTATGTTCAGTTACTTCATGACTTCTGACAGCTGGTGGCCACAACCAGAGGAATAAGAGGAATGCCTGGATAAATGCTTACCTAATGGTTGGGCTAATAGCCTGTTGTGCCAAAATGCTGTACTCGGATTCCTGTATCATGCTATTATGGTGTGCAGTTATTTGTTGGATCCCCTCTCCCTTCCCCTGCAATGAAAGTATATTTTTTCTGTTCTACCCCTCAATAGAATTAGGAACCCTTGCTTGGAGAGAAAGAGGGCTGTGTAACAGCAAATTTGTATGCTCTTGGCTTATTATATTCGCTAAAAGTCTCTGGTTTGAAGTCATTAGACTCCTAATAAGGACAGCATTGACTGTTTAAACTGAACTGTAACTATAGCTTGCAGGGATATCTTCTTGCTGGTCATTTAGTATAGCATATCCCTAGGCTACAGCCAAAATGTCATGGTTTAAACTCAGCAGCAACTCGGCACCACGCAGCTGCTCACTCGCCCCCCACCTCCTTCCCTGGGTAGGATAGGGAAGAGAATTGGGGTAAAACCCATGGGTTGATATAAGAACAGTCCAGTAATTAAAATAAAATACAATATAATAATAGTAATAATTATATGAGAAATAACATGGAGAGAAAATAAAGCTAAGAATGGGAAAGGAGGAAAAGAAAACCCAACCACAAAATCTCAGCAGTGATGCACAGTGTAACTGCTCATCACCTGATGACTGATACCCAGCCTGACCTGAGCAGCAATTGCTCCCTTTCGGGTGACTCCCCCCAGTTTATATACTGAGCATGATGTGCTGTGGTATGGAATACCCCTTTGACTAGTTTGGGCTGGGTGTCCTGTCTCTGCTCCCTCCCTGCTTCTTGTGATCCTACTCACTGGCAGACCATGAGACTGAAAGTCCTTGATCAGGGGAGGCACTACCGAGCAACACCTAAAACGTCTGCGTGTTACCAGCATTGTTCTCAGGCTAAAGCCAAAACACAGCACTGCACCAGCTACTAGGAATAAAATTAACTTTATCCCAGCTGAAACCAGGACACAAAATGTGGTATTTTTATCTAGAATAGTTAGAATGACTACTAAAATACCTGCTGGAGGCAAGAATTATGTGGACACCTTCCAAAAACATCTTCGCATTTCTTTTGCCACAGTGGCTGAAGCTGAAGTGCATCTTTAGTAACTGCTGAAAACTCTCAAATGGAGGAAAACTTCAGTGGCATGGTTTAGCAGTGGCCTTGGCAGTGGTGGGGAATGGTTGGGGTTTTGATGATCTTGAAGGTCTTCTCCAACCTGGTTGATTTTGTGATTCTATATTATCAGAACAAGAATGTACTCTTAAATTTTTGCTGCCATCTTACTGGCTTCTCTGGAATTCCATGTAGCAAAACAGTTCAGATACACTGCACAGAAATTTGTGTACTTTTAGTCCAAAACCACTTTTGAGGATATAGCTTGGGCTAGAAGGCTGTGAAGTCTCTCTGGCATCTTTTAAAAAAGGTAAGACCAGATATGTTGAAAATTACAGGAAATAGCTGGTCCTATTTGCAGCAAGGCAGATAAACTAGATGAAATGGAACAGTGTCAAAGGCTGATAGTTACACAAAAACTGGGATGGTAAAAGATAGAATACTGAAGAAATAGTTATCACTGGTAAGGTATTCTCTTTAGAAGATCCCTCAAAAATCGTTCATGCTAGTTGAAACTTCCCCATTCCAGGCTAATTTAACAGAGAACAACTATCGTTACTACAAAAATTTTGGCACAAAAGTTTTAAATATAAGCATTCGTAGACATCTCCATGTGGTATAAAAATTTCATAAACATAGCAGCATACACATTGGACAAATCCAAATTATGAAATTCTTATAAGAACTGGAAGTGCAGAGGTACAGCTAGTTTGCCTGAAATAAGGAACAGTTCAAAGCATTTGAAATCTCTCCCATTCCTTAAGATGACTTCTTTGCAATAACCCTTACCAAACTGTAACTTACAGTAATACCATATAGCTAGTAAAATAGGTTAAAGGATTTGGAAACAACTGATGAATTATTTCTCTTTATTTTTTAATTTGCTTGTTAAGCAAATAACAGAAACCAAACCTAAATACACAAAAAAACCCATCCAAAAGCTTATCTAAGGCATCTAATAAAAAAAAGGAAATGGAATCTAACTTATTTTTTTTAAATAAGCACGATCTGTGGGTCATTTGCATGATCAGAAAGTTTTACATGTAACAGCTTGCTGGAAGTTTTGTTAAATGCATTTTTTTCTCATACTAAGATGGAAACTTCATTTCTTTTGGCTACTACAGTCTCTGATGACTAAAAATAACTTCTTGTTCCGGAATAACACAGAATAAGAACCATTTCTCAAATTTCTGGTGGCTCAGTTCTGAAAATATATTAACCAAGAAAAATATTGATTAAAGTTAGGTTATTATTGCCATAAACGTTTGTATATGAAAACAGCAAAACACTGAAGTATGTTTTGCACTAAGTGCAAAGATTTTGCAAGTTTTATGCTATTTAGTATAAACAGTCTAACTGCATCTTATGGAGAAATGGCACAGTCATATCTGGCCTTATTCTTTGTTGCAAAAATTGACCTACTGCTTTGTTTCAACTTCCTATCAACTGTGAAAAGTGGTATGGAAGAGGAGGTCCTTTACTTATGCAAGCCCATAACACCAAGGGTTGTGCATTGTTTTAGTTAAACTGGTGCTATTTTAACACTACTTAGCATGTTCAAAACTGAGAGAAAACATACTGCCATCAACACTGTTTTACTCTGAAGCTGACAGAAACACTTCAATTTGAAATTTTTTCATGGTTATAAACATCCTACTACTATGTTAAAAATATGTGTGCATTAAGGAGATGAAGAAAGCACAAACTTCTATTTGAGAGATTATCCTGTCAGTAGGAACAACATGTATTTAAGTAATGGAAGTGTCTTAAACCTAGTATATACTGAAAATTTTATCTGGTCAGACACTTGTTACTGAACATGGTCTCATACCCTGCTCAGTGTAAACAGAATAAACCAATTTGTTTAAACCACTTATTTGGACACATTTTAAAATGAGTTTGCATAGGGACTACTTGGCTTTAATTTTGTAACGATACCCTCATTTGTACTGCAGTAGGAAATAGTGGGTCATGTGCTGATAGCGGGAAAACTGATTTAAGTGTAGTAATTAGAGTTTTAGGTAAACTGCTGTAAGCAGAAAGATGCAAGACAATTCTTGCTGGTAGAAAGATGTGCTTCCGCTGCTCCTAGGGTCTTTTAATTTTTTAGGAAATGACTGATCTCATTTTGATCAAGCTTAGGTTCTCAAAGTGATCTTTTATTTCACTGCATTTACATTACCACCTGATGAGTGACATGCTGCTTAAATTCTTCTAAAGCCTAGGTTTAATATTTGGATTAATATTTCTAAGTACCTGATGCCCTGTAGCTAGTTACTGTCTAAGAAACTGAATGAGTGATTGCAGTCTACAACCTGATAGCTGAAATGGTAATTCCTTTATCCTTTGATGTGTTCTCTGTTCTTCTGACATGTCTTCATAGCAGGCAAAGCATAAATTTGTCTTGCATACTATCTTTCATAAAAATAATCATAAGCAAGGTGTTTTGCAGTAAGGAAATGGATTAAAACTGTTTTTCCAGTCAACTCTGAGCTTAAGTTACACAAATGCCTAGAAGCCTCTTCGAGTTGCTGCTTTTTTGTGCATGCAGAACCAAAGTCCTGTCAGCATGTAGCAGTTGTTACGTGCTGACACTGTGCTTGGCTCCAAGTATGTCGCATCAACATTAAAGCTAATCATGAATCAAACTAGGGATGAAAGTATTTTTCACTTGGAGAAAAAAACACAAACATTTGCATATGAGTAAATTGCTTAATTATATCCCATTTTTCAGAAGTGCCTAAGTAATCTAAGTCCTCCTAAAGGTACTTAAAGGTTGGGACTTAAGCTTCTAAGTGTCTTAGTCAACATTTTTAGAAGTGTGTAACATCCGTGTATCCACTAATGTCTCTGGCAATTCCTGAAACCTGGTGCTGCTTAACAGGACAGAATACTGTACATACGATTAAATCAGAGGACAGAGTGGGACTGCAGTTCCAGATACTTGTTTCCTCAGGAAAGGTGTGATGTGGTAGACAGGCAGAACAGTACACAGCGATCTACTATCAAGCTCCTTGGGAGAAGTGCCTTTGTATGTTGCTTGTTGCTCCCAAGGAAAGAAGAAAGGCAAAATACATTTTAAAACTTCCTTTCTTAATTTTCTAGTGGCCAATTTCACTAAATACACTCCACTAAGTTAAACTCTGTTCCATCTCTACTATAAAATCCTGTATTCTAAGCAGCTGATCTGCATCTTGTGTACTGTACGGTCTGTCTGAATGCTATGTGATTGTTATATGGCTGAGCATATTTCACTCTCTATTCAGTATTTTGGGTCTGATTTCTAGAGATGCTAAGCATCTTTGTCTCCTGAATTCAATGAGGAATACTGCACAAATTTATTTAGTTTTACTTTTAAATTGATTGAGATTTCATTCCTATGCAGGTTCCAGATTTCACTATTACAGACCTGTCTTCAGAGTCAGATGATATCCCAAACATTCTGGATTTGGATGAAGAAGATCAGCAAGACTTTTCACGCACAAATGGCCCTTACACTACAGGGCAAAGAGCTGAATAAAGAGCAGCATAAAAACATCTTTTTGATACAATGTACTTCTGCCATGTTTAACTTAGATTTCTCCTTTCTAAAGATGAACCTATCCTAGTTTAGGGATTTTGGGGATATTTTTTTTTGATCACTACTGGTTTAGTTACATCAAAATTATATATATATATATATATATATTTTTTCTATGTAAAGAATGCATGCTACATTAATTCATTAGAATGGGTGTAAAGCTCACATTCTGCAAACCAGATACAACCTAACAGTGTATCCAACTGATCAAGTCTTTGTTGATGATTTGTTCTCTGGCTGACAGCAGCCATAAGAACACTCGAGTGCTTTTCATAAAGGGCTGCCAACAATAGGAGTTGATGAGGATTTGCCCACAAAATTTCCCCTTTCACTCTACATGAGAAGCACTTCTGCATCTACCTCTTTGCTGCTGGAATGGGTAAGAGACTTTGTCTCAAATTCTCTCAGGTTCTCTTTGTTAGGCTCTGTACCTAGAGAGCTTAGAAGCTTAGGGCTTGCCTTTGGCGAGAGTGCTATATGCACAAAAGGATTCCCTTTCTCTCTACATGCCTTCTGTGTGCAAACATTCTTGACATTCTGCACCATCTTGACATTATCAACTGTGGGGCCTGAGACTAAAATAAGGTAAATGCTTAAAAAGGAGTTTTGTCAGGAATAAGGATGACAGTTAAAAAACAAGGCAGGAAAGACTGTGAGAAGTAAAGAAAAAATAGAGGTCAGTGAGATACAAACAGATGTGGGCCAAAAGAAAATTGAAAAAAGATAGACAACTGGAGGGTAGGGATACTTCTTATGACAGTAATGATCTTCCTATGTTTAAACACAATCTCAAGTATTTGCAAAGGAATACTGAATCTGCATTTGGTTGCACATGGTGACTTCTGTAGGAGTTGGGGTGAATGGAACCAGACTGGAGGCAGGTTTGTTCAGCTTCTTTCTAAGGATCAGGCTGATGCTCCGCAGAGCACTGCCGGTGTCACTGCAGCGAATCAGGAGGTGCTGCACAGTGCTACAGCCACTGAAGCATTGCACAGCGGGTAGGATTGCTGCGAGGTTGGCACCCACTCTCTCTCGTTATGTAATGCTTGGTTGTTGTGAAAACTCTGAAGTGTAGTCACTGAAATGCCTTGGAATAAACATTTGAACCACACAGCTGAGAGTTGTACTTGTTTTCCATGCTAAGCGTCATGGTTGGTTTGTTACTGCAAAGGTGGTGGAAGAAACTCTCTAAGACTTGGAGTTTTAGAAAAGCAGGTGTTCTTTACTGCAGCGCTGGGTGCACACGTGGATCATTTCACACAGGTGAGTGCACCTAACGCCAGTAGCAGCGATGTATTTAGAATACTCATGCATATTTACAGCTTTTCCAGACAGTAATTCACATATTCATGAGATTTCCAGAAGCTAATTATATCCGCATTCTAATTATGCATTATGATGGTTGCCAATAGTCTTCCTCACTGTGTTCACCAGTGTTCACCTGTTGTGTTCACTATGTTCACCAGCATCCTCAGTGCTTGCATATCCTCGCAATGTCCTAGTGAGGTGTGGTATGTCCTTGCTTTTGTTTTGTTCCAGTCTGTTATCAGGAAGGCTAGCATCCTTGGTCTTATTTACTGCCTCCTTAGTTCCCAGTCCCGTGATGTGCCTTCCCCTGTCAGCCGGACATTTCTTGCTCCCTACACGCCAGCAAGTTAAGAGCAGTTTGCTGTATTCTACTATATGACCTCACCGCCATACGCATTATTGTTCGTTTGAACCCACAGTTTAGCCCTACCGCTTACAAGCCCGCTCTGCTCTCTGCAGGCCGCCGTCCCTTGCGAGGTGCCCCCTACGGCCAGCACGCGCAGCTCGCCGCGCCTAGGCGCGGCCCTCCCGCCGGCCCCCGTAGCGACGGCAGCGGCGCACGCGCGCGGCCTCCACCGCCCCGCGAGGTCGGCGTCAGGTCTCGCGGCGGTTGGGCCTCCCGCGGGAGGGCGGGACTGGCGCACGCGCGCGCTTTCGTAGCAGGCGGCGGGAAGTTACGGTGGCGTGGTGTTGGCTTGGCGGGCCGCGTTCCGCTCTGTCTCAGCGGTGGGTGCTTTGTGAGGCGCTCGGCGCTATGGGACGCAAGTGGGAGGAACACCATCTCTGGTGGTACATACTGGCCTTGGGCTTCGAGCGGGAGACTGCCGACCCCTCCCGCGTGGTACTGGGAACGTAAGTCTGAGGCGGAAGCGGGTTGGGGAGGGAGGGGAATGGGGTCTTTTGCAGCCCTCGGTCCCTGAGCGAGGTTTTGGATTTCAGCAGGCAGCGCCCAGCATGGGGAAGCAAGAAAAGGAAGTGGGGAGGGAAGGGGCGGGCATCGCCTTGCAGCAGAGGTGCCTTTTGATGCAGAGTAGTACTTTGTAATCTTGAGCGGTCTGCAAAAAATGCTGTATTAATTCGGTGTGGTAGCTGCATCTGATGTGGCTCTTTATTTGTGTATTAGGAAGATGTTCAGCATACCAAATAGCGGTGCACTTCACATTATTGCCACCTTCTTGTTTGAAAGGCTGGATTGGGCTCGAGCAGCAGTGACTTTCAGGTAAGTGAGTTTCGGGCTTGTGAGGTTGCTGCTGTGCATGTAATCAAGAACGCGATTTATGCAGCTGCTGGGAGGGGGGGTGTCTCTGGAGGAATGCCGTGGAAGAAGAATATGCTGTCAGAATTTGTTTCTTTTTGGTCACAACTCTGTAATGAATCAGAAACCTTGCCTTAATTGTAGGCGTTTCTGAAAGTCTGTAACTTGATGAGTTATAGTTGCCACCTGTTGGTAAAAACGTTCATAGCAGCAAAGTAATCTAACTTTCCCATTCATTTCACTAACCAAGAAGGGAGTAACGCTTCCCAGTTATGGATTGCTGCCAAGATCTTTAATGAGGCAAGAATCCCGTCTTCCTTAATGCCTTTCCTCATATAGCTTTGCCATTTTAGCTGACACATTAAATGAAGAGGCTGGAGAAAGACCAGGGATGTGAAAATTGTCAAGTGTTCTGACTTTTTTCCCCTCTTCTTTCTCTTGAGTTAAAAAAAGCTGCAGACAAATCTGTCTCAGAAATAGACCATAATTAACGTATTACGGCAAGAAAGTGTTGTCATTTAACAAACTTTTAGCTATTCTTGTTGTAGGCTATATCTCCTCATTTTCTGACTCCTCCAGGAGGCATCACTGAGAAGTCTTTGTCTTAGCCTTGTTCTTGAAATGGTTAATTAGGTAACTTAATATTTGTACACGTCTTGAAATTGATTTTTTTTTCTTCTTTTTCCCCATCCTTTTTAAATGGAAAGAAACTGTGCCTCTGCAGACCTGTGTTTTATGAAGCACTGTTTTGTGTGGCTGAAAGACATTGAAGTGAGTATTATGAAGGTAGAAACTGATGCTCTGTAAGCTCATTCCTTTTTTTGAAAGAATATGTAGTGCTTTTAAGTAAGAGTTTTAAAGATTATTTTACCAAAGAAGTTAGTTTTATTTCACATGGTCTTATTTCACATAGTTGCATCTTAGACTTGTTTGAGGAAAACAATGTGACGTGGTGGAATTTAGATGAGAGAGACTTAAAACTGCTGTGGTTTTCTTCTGGATAATGGTATTAGAATAAACAGAATTCAAGAGGGTTCCTCATGTCTGGGTGAGAATAATTTTCTTCAACTTGAGAGATGTTTGCCTAAGTTATCTCAGAAGGTGTTTATTGTTGCAAGAGTGGCTTCAGGTGCAGGAAAAATTTTTTTCTACTGTAAGTCTTTGTTTATGGGGAAATGGGCTAAACTTTAAGTTGAGCTTATCAAGAGGAAAGAGGCAAACCAAAATTGATGGTTTCTGGTACCATTAGTTAATGTTATCTTCTCATGCTGCCTTCATTTTAATGATAGTTGTAGAAATCAGGTCTTTGTATACTGGAACACTTTTAGTAATAATGCAAAAGATAAAAGCTAATAATGCAATATCTTTGAGTGAGATAAAAGCAGAGCAAAGAACACTCATTCGTGACTTCAGGAGAAAACAAGAAGAGAATGCGTATTTTTTCAAAGGCAGGTATTACCAGTTGCGGGTGAGGAGGGCAGAGATTTCTAACATTTACCTGTTTTTCTCCTTAGTAGCTGGTGCAGCACTGTGTTTTGACTTTCAGCCTGGGAACAATGCTGATAACACCAGTGTTGCTCAGTAGTGTTTACTCTGATGAGGGCCTTCTGAGTCTCCTACTCTGCCAGGGAGGAAGGGAACCTGAGGGGAAGCAGAGACAGGACACCTGACCTAAACTAGCCAAAGGGGTACTCCATACCACAACAGGTCATGCCCAGTATATAAGGTGGGGGCAGTTATCTGAAAGGGCTAGACAACTGCTCGGGTCAGGTTGGGTGTTAGTCGGCGGGGAGTGAGCAGTTGTATTCTCTTCCCTTGTTATTTCCCTTATCATTATTCCCTTATCATAATTATTATTATTGGTGGTAGCAGTATTGGTTTTGTGTTATACGTTAGTTACTGGACTGCTCTTATCTCAACCCGTGGGAGTTACGTTCTTTCGTTTCTCCTCCCCATCCCTCTGGGAGTCGGAGGAGAAAGGTGTGCGGGGAGTGAGTGGGCGACTGCATGGTTCTGAGTTACCAGCTGGCCTTAAACCATGACATTACCCAACACTGATTTCAGTCTGTATGTTGAAACTGTTTCTCACATACAGAACTTGGGATGATGGGTGGAACATTCAGGAAGTTTTAATCTCTTCTGGCGAGAGTGAGTGTCAGCTGTAGTGGCAAAATAGTTAAGGTTTGCATCAGCCTTGATAACAAGTAGGCTGCAATGTTTTGCTAAATGGCTGTTGTTTAGGCTTAATTTCTTAGGTCAAATTTATGTTTAAAAACCAATTTATCTTTTCTAGAAGGAACACAAAGACTGTCTTCAACATGTTACAGCGTCTTCATTAATTTCTCCTGGAGGTTCTAGATTTATTCATATGTTCTATTTGTTTGCAAAGCACGTACTGACTGAGGACATGAAAAAGAATTCTGTAGGTAAGCTGTAATGAAACAATGAAAATGCTTCATTTGTAATGTTTGACAGTGAATTCATCAAGTCTTTAGTATATGCCAACAGTTTTAAAGTAGTTCTGAGTTGGCTGTTCAGTTCAAAATCTTTCATGGTGTTCTACTTGCTGTCAGCTACTGCTGATATAACAATGCAGATTGCTTTGCTTTCTGTTGCTTTATGGGTCTTGCTCCAAAGTTCACCTGTGTAATGCTGTTCACCATTCGCCACGCAAGCAGTGGTCTGTTCCAGAAGTATTGGACTGTTATACTGTACTCATTCTCACAGCCATAGTAATACTGAAGGATCAGAACTGTCGTCTATTCTTGGAAATCTTGTGTTGTTTTATTACCTAAAGAATAGGGAAAGGGAGTGACGGTGAGGGAATGAGAGCGTATACAACAGAAAGAACTGGAAAAAAGGCAGTGCACTGCATACTCTGTTTCAGTCTAGGTAAAATGAGCATTTTGATTTGTTGTTCTTCCATTTCAAACTAGGAAGATTAGAAAGTTGTCTGTTTGCTAAAACTGAATGATGTAATCCATCCTAACTTCCATTTAGGCACTGATAAACTTGTGGCCAAATCTGTAATGTTGAGACCTAGGAATATGTACACGGCAAAGTCAAGATGCAGAGTTGCATACAATAAAATTCTGCAGATTTTTCTAAAGGAACACTTCATTATTCAAGAATATCAGAAAAAGGCATGGTAAGTGATATATTTAAAAAGGAGTGTTTTCATGAAGTCTGTCTTCTGTGTGTGTGTGTGTGTGGTTAAAAGGATTTGAGGAGGCTGCAGCTGCTTTACATCGTGAGTTCTGTTGAGCTTCTCCCAGTTTTTTTCCCCTTTACCTCTAATTGACAGTTCTACTGTTTGTAGGGTCTTTTGTGAAGTGTAATAGTCTAAGCAAGTTGGTTTTGCAATATAGGAGATGCTATATTTTGGAAGATATAGTTACTTGGGCATTAAAAATGAGCAAGTAATTCAGCATATACAGCACTATGATTGCTTAACATCTGAAGGGGCGTATCTTAGAACATAAGTGTTTCAGGGTGAAACTGCCTGATCGCTACGGGACACATTTTATTGACATAATCCTAAATTATTT